TCCTGAATAAAATTTTATTGTGTCTCAAGCATACTCATTATAAGTGTTATAGATTGCTCCCTTTCTGCTGACCTAACAGGAGTGTGGGTTTGACACGAATCATGAAGCCTGCAAAGCTAAGTATTTATTGAGCCCTTTACAAAGAAGCATCCCTTTTATAGTCAAATGGAAAATGAAGGGCAGACTCCATAGTATAAATACAGCGTTTCTTCGCATGAGAGAGTGTCAACAGGGATAGGCTTTGTTTTTAGGTTCCCTGGATACCCCTTGGGATGACTCTAAGAGTTTCATCAGTGTGAACCATTGGAAGTTATATTGTAAAGTAGAGGATGCCTACTGTCTGATTATCCTTTACATATTTTAGGGAAGTAAAGAGTTCGTTTATATGGAGAAATATTGCAGCATAATAGATAAATTAAGACTTGTGAAGTTGTTAGGTCATCCCAGCATCGTGTTTTCTCTGTACTTCACCTTCCCGGCATCTGCCTGCCATCTATTTCCCAGGGTCTGTCCATCTCTTCAGACAATGCTCCCCCACTGCTCTCCAGAATGACACCTGATCTACAAGGTTACTTGTGCTCTTTCATACAGAGAAAATTTATGTTCCTAAATGCTCCATGAATGGCTTTAGCGTTCTCAAATAAAAATAGTTTATATTAAAGTTATTTTCTTTAACTAGCTTAGAAGTTCCCAAACTGTACACAGAGACATCCCTGAATACTACGGAAAACCCTCAAGATTGCTCTGGATATTTTACATCAGTTTCAATATCAGATTTACTGCATTCCTCTGGGGTGATATCATAGTTTGAAAGGTTGATGTTTCTTTGAAAGGTAGTACTTTCTGAAATCACGTCAACAGGAAGGGCAATGGCAGTGTTTGGTCGGAGTGAAAGGCTAGAAGACTTGAGCAAGGCCCTGAATGCTCACATATCCCATTTGCATATACTGCAGGGACTTGGAATAATTTTGCTCCTTTTTTTTTTCTAAAACTTACATCAAATTGTAAAGATGGTGCTCATTAAGTTGTTTGGACCTACTTGCTACAAAACAGAACTGTTAGGCATTTGCTACGATACCATGAAAAAATAACAAACAGTAAAGGTTCTGTGAACTGAGCAAGTTTCAGATACTAGAAAGAATTGCCTAGCTCTAAAATGGATAAACTCTTCTTAAGCATTTAAGAATACATCAGTCTTAAATTTTCATTGTTTTCAAAATAGCACTTCAGTTACAGAGGAATTCATGTAAAGTCTCACAAAATTCAGTTGCACTGCGCTTTGTGCTACAGGACACAGATGATGTGCCCTAGCGTCTCAGGGCGGGGAAACACATGCGCGTTCCTCATGTCAGTAAGTCAGTCAAATCAGTTATCCAACTCATATTGCCTATTTTGAAAGTTCAAAGAGGAATGAGTAGATCCCTTTGGGGTGAACGAAAGTTGATTTTTTTTTATTTATACTGTCCTGGCAGTGATAGTACAATTCTAACAGGTCTGGGCAGTGGACGTTTCAAATGGAACAATGGAAGGACTCAAAAGATTTATTTTAGGAGAGACAAATCATTTTGTATGATTGAAGTCTGGACATATGTTGTGGAAACATGGAGGTTACAGCTGGCTTGCTGTGTTCACTGGAGTGCTGTTGTGGAGGGCTGAGTGCTGGGTGTGAGGCATTTGGATTTAATTTACTAGGAAAAGAAGAATGATTAGGGCGATTAATCTGTCAGCAGGACATGGGATGATTGAATCAAGGAGAGGGGAGAGGCATGGAGAGCTTTTGGGACGAGAGCGATGGATTTTGTTTTATGTATTTATATTTCAAAGGAGCTAAGTTAAAGAGCACATTTTTTGTTTAGCATTAACTAAAGGCTGTAAAAAGAACTTGTCATTCGTAAGGGAGGGGCACCTTTTAATACTTTGTATTTCTATGGTAATATATTAATACAATGTAAATATGCTTAAATTCATACTCCAACGTCCTGCACTGTGTTACATTTCTGATTTAATTCTTAGAGCCTTGGAGTTTTATCATTCCAACCTAAAGGTGACATGTTAAACTACCCAAAGCCCCATAGTTAACAAAGACACAGTTTTGCAAAACTTAAAAATAAGTATACTGGGAAGTCTGGAGGTTCTTGCACAAAAAACTCCAAGTTCAGTGAATGAGAAGAAAGGAAAGGAGGGAGAGGTGCCGTCTGTTTAAACTGCGGGGAACTGACTTGTCCATCTCTTCAGGTCTCATGAAGGTATAGTCACTTGACCTGATTGCAGCTCCATTTATGGTACTTTTTTCAAACCGTTCCTGATCCCAAATACTAACTTCAAGACCACAGACACTAATGTGTTTGTTGATAGCTATCTTTCATTTATGTGTATTCCTGAAAAATGTTTGATTGTTGTTAATTTTTTTATTTAAAAATTTTAATTAAACTGTATTTGTATGCTTGTGTACACATAAATTCAGGTGCTTGCAGAGACTTGTAATTCAATCCCCTGGAACTCATGTTACAGGTCCTTGTAAGACGCCCAGTGTAAGTGCTGGGAAATGAACTCATGTCCACTGCAAGAGCAGCACACACTCTCCCCAGTCTCTATTGCCTTGTTTCGTGTGTGTGTGTGTGTGTTTATATTATATATACAACTTCAAAGTGTGTTTCAGTTTGCTGTGCATTCTCCTTACATTTTTCCTTCAGACTTTTAGGATATCCCGTTTCTAGGATATCTCATACTCTCTTACTTTCAGCAAAACAAAGGTAAATATTCACATATGTTAACTTCCTAAAATACTTTTTTTTTCTGCCTCTCACTTTATGTCTTTGTTTGCATTGGTTGGTTGGTTGTTCATGTGTTTGTATTTGAGGAACTTACATATGGTAAAAGAAAATTGACTTTATTCATGGTAGACATGGTGTACTTAAAGTTGCTGGTATTTTAATCCTTGAAAAGATTTAGATATATGAGGAATAGGTGGTGGCGTTTGTGCTTTCTACAGGCTGCACAGGCGAAAAGACAGAGGGCAGTTATTCTCTTCTGTTCCTTTGACACATTGCATTCCGTATACGGTGGCAAATGTCACAGCATTCGCTAGTGTGTTTGTTGTAACTTTCTTTTAGCAGTTCTGTCGCTGTCATTCATATGAAATATTGCATATCATAATTATAAAGGGTTTTTCTGTGTAACAGCCCTAGCCGTCCTGGAACTAACTCTTGTAGACCAGGCTGGCCTCGAACTCACAGAGATCTGCCTGCCTCTGCCTCCCGAGTGCTGGGGTTAAAGGCTACCACCATTCGTCCTGTGTATACATTGTCTTAATGGTTGTCAAAGCCAATATCTCCTTACAGCAGCAATGAACTATGGTTTCTTGTAATTTGTACTTGATCTCTCCCACCCCTAGAGGAAATGTATTTTACACTCTCTGGGAGATTCACAAAATAAAGGATCTACTAAGAGGAAGAAAACATGTTATCTGGGTGTTATATTTGTTATTTTTGACTACTAACTTATTCGTTCTCACAACTGTGTCCTCCAACTGTTGTCGCTATGGCACTGAAAACAGGCTAACTGTATTCTTTAAAGCAGACAACAGTGGTGGCACATCTTGAGACAGGCATCTGGCATCTGAGTTCTTCTCTCTGTAGTGCTAGTCCAGGCTTCCTGTGACTCTGTTGTTCTTTTTTCTTTCCTTTTTTTAAACATACAATTTTTTTGTTCCCTTCTGTTTCTGTAAATAGTGGCATATATTTACTAATGTTGCTAATCACAAATTTAGCATTTTCCATTTTGAGTCTTAAGCAAGAAGAAATGTAGACTTATCCTTAGCTGTTTATCTGCTCTTAAGTCTTATTAATTGAATATATTCTCAGTATTTATAGATATCTTCTGATTGTATAAGTATTTATTTCACTAGAACAAAATAATTCTACTTTTAATGTTTTTTATCTCAAGCATAATTATCTCCAATTTTTAAAATAATTAGCAATATGTAAATTTCCTTATCTAGGTTTTACCATTTCTACTCTTCGTGCATTCCCTTCTCATCATTTCTTTTTTTAAATAAAAAGAAAAGGTTTATTTTTATTTTGTGTATGGCTGCTTTGCTCACATGCATGTTAGTGCACCACGTGCCTGCCTGGTGCCCATGAAGCATCAGCTCTCCTGGAACTGGACACTGGGAATTGAACCAGGGCTCTTCAGAAGAGCAGCCAGGGCTCTTAACCTCTGATCCATCTCTCCAGCCCCATCATCATTTCTTTATTTTACCATTGATGTAATATAGTTTCTAATCACACTAATAGTACATATATACTTTTGTCTTAGCTCTTATGGAATAAGCATGTACCATAGCAATTTTTCCTTTACTCCTTAGTTTTCATCTTTTATAATGTCTTCAAAATACTCCCTAAAACAACATTTTTCTCTAGATATGTTATAAACTACATATAAAATTTAATTATAATAGCAACAGCACAAAACTCAAGTCCAAATGGGTCAAATACCTCAATATAAAACCAACCACTCTCCACCTCACAGAAGAAAAAGTGGGAAGTAGCCTTAAACCCATTGGCACAAGAGACCACTATATATAACACCAATAGCACAGACACTGAGATCAACAGTTAATAAATGGGGCCTCCTGAAACTGAGAAGCTTCTGTAAGGCAAAGAACACAGTCAACAAGACAAAATAACAGGCTACAAAATGGGAAAAGATCTTCATACAGTCCCACTTCTAACAGAGGGCTGATCTCCAAAATATATACAAGAATTCAAGAAATTAGATATCAAAATATATAATATGAAATAAGTAGTGTTTCTTCTCTATAACGGCGTATATGAAACATGTAACACATGAAAATTTTTTTCTTGTAAAATACAGCCGTTTTCTACCTGGGACTTTAAATTTGTACAGGCATTGCTATTTCTGTAGATTCCGTTTATTCTCTCCTAGACTAACTCTGAAGGTATCAGTTCTCATTTTCTCTTCTTTTTTTCTTTGCCCAGGGCTTTTTTCTTACAGTGTCTCCAGAGTCAGTATTGAAAGTGGCTCAATATGCCGCTGAGAAGAACAAGGTCTTCACTCTGAATCTGTCTGCACCGTTCATTAGCCAGTTCTTCAAGGGATCCCTGATGGAAGTCATGCCTTATGTTGACATCCTCTTTGGAAATGAGACGGTGAGTTGCTTGAATGAATGAACGAACGAACGAACGAATGAACGAACGGACTAGAGCCAGGTGTGGTAGTGCATGCCTTTCATCCCAAAATCCATGAGGCAAAAGTAGGCACATCCTGTCTCTAAAACACAAAATGGAAAAGTAATAATCAAATGTTTCTGGTCTGTGTGTATGTTTAGGAATGCATGAATAAAACCCTAAATTTGGGGTCAGTGTCCTTAGCGATTATACAAGAGTCACCTAATGTAGATTCTCTTCTCTGTATTTTCTGTATTTCCTACAGAATACCTTCTTAGTAAACAATAAATTTTTAAAAGATTAAATCATTGGGACTTAATTTACATTTAGTAAAATTCACCCTTCCTACTCTACATCCTACACTTCTGCAAATGCATATGTGACCTGTAACTATGACCACAACCAAAATTCTCTTTAAAAAAAACTTTTCTCACTTTTAAAATCTTCTTTCTGTCTATATTTAAAGTTAGTAAATTATGAGTAAATATTGGTACTATAATTTATATTAAATTTATTACTGAGATTATTCTGGAAATATTTGTATTGTAGTTGAAAATGTTAAAATAGAATTTCACTGTAAGTATTGCAGCTTCTTTTACCCAGTGATGTGTTTTCTCCCATTAAAGGTCAAGAGAAACTAAAAATCCATAAAAATAAAATAGAAAAGGCTTTGACTGAGCTTTCATGTGATGTGTTAGCAATATTGGTGAACCTCTATGAACATTGTAAGTTTTTGTATAAAATGTTGTATTACATTGATCATCATGCAAATTCATTCTGATTCTAATTCTCTAGTTATACTAATTGATTTTACATGTCAGTAAACTAAGTGTGCAGTCTGCCTTAAAGAAACTTAGAAACTGATCTGAAATTATTTGTGATTTCACCTTAGTAAAGACTGAAGGACTGATCTGTAGAAAGAATATCAAACGTGTGAGCATGTGAAGACCAATACCATCGAAAGAAAATGTTCCCTTCTTTACACATTAACTGTGTTAATTATGTTTCTCATGCTGCAGCCACATACCTGACTGGAAACAACTTAAGGGAGGGAAGCTATATTTCAGCTGGATAGTGGATCATGTCCATCATGGCAGGGAGGTTTGGCAAAGCTTATGGCAGTGGGAATGGTGAACATCTCGAGATTAAGAAGCAGAACAGGAGCTAGGTGGTGGTGGGTCACACCTTTTCTCCCAGCACTTGAAAGGCAGAGGCAGGCGGATCTCTGTGAGTTTGAAACCAGCCTGGCAGAGCGAGTTCCAGGACCGTCTCTAAAGCTACAGAGAAACCTGTCCTGTTTTAAAGAGGGAGGAAGAGGAGGAAAAAGAAGAAGGAGAAGGAGAAGGAGAAGCAGAAGCAGAAGCAGAAGCAGAAGCAGAAGCAGAAGCAGAAGCAGAAGCAGAAGCAGAAG